GAGCCGCTAATTCTATACGAAAATTGAGAACTAAGACAAAGGCCGGAAGAAAAACATAACGAAAAAAATGGTGAAGAATGAAATAGAGAAGAGGCCATAACACAATAACGATTTTGAATTGAAACCGATGTTTAAAATGTTTCAATATATGAGGGTGACAAATACAGTCGCAACTAACAGCATGTTTGTGCCTTTTTTAAGTGGAAAATGTGAATTGTATGTTGTCGCAATCGATGCCATACAGGCTTACACAATGCACAATTTATCCAGCTGAAAAATTGAATGAAGGGCACGAACCAGTAAGGAAGAGAGTGCGCAGGGTGTGTAGAGAGAGAGAGAGAGAGAGAGAGAGAGTGAAGAAATAAGAAAACTATGGAATTATGGTGGCCAAAATGGTGTGCTATGCACTCTGTGCTCGCTGCTCCTATATCCATCTGCTTGTTTTTCGTCTCTCACTCTTTCCCTCATGTGCTGTCTTTGCATTTAATCGCTTTCTTCCATTCAGATGGATATATGATTCATTCACCGTAATGTTGAGTACAATGTAAAAACTTGGGCTTGAACGATGATTATACGGCTTTTATTCAACGGAAAATACGTTTTTTTTTCTCTTTTCGTAGGCGATGCTTTGCATTCATATGACAACATATCATCTGGCTGAAATAACGAACATATCAAAACGAAATAAAAATATTGTGGAAAAAAAGAGAAAATAACCTCATCCAGACAGACACATCATTCTTCATTCATATTCAGTGCGTACCAATCGATCGTTGATTCATTAAAAAAACACTCGGCCTACGATATTGGTATTAATCGAGATAAAGAAACTTTTTGATTGCGACCCATACGTGAGCCTCTGGATCGCTTAAGATTTTGATACACACACGCACACACCGTGCGGGAAATATCGCATTTTTATCTCAAAAACGATCGAAGCCAAAATGGCGCGATTACAATAAATTTATTCTGACTGTTTTGGTCGGTGTGTGTCGGTTTTGCTCCTTGTGCACACGGGACACACTCTTTGTTTCAATGTATTGCTCAATCCACTTTAAATACAGTGTAAGTCGCCGCCGTCAGCTTTTAATCTCTTTCGGTTCTTAATGTATAAGTGTATATATATATAGATCTCGATGTTAGTATGATATACGTTCTTAGATTAGTTGTATAAAAATAACAACTTGTTTTCTTTTCTCACTCGCTTTCTTACACAGTAAGGAAAAAAAAACAGTGTTGGGTCTACACAACAAGGTGCGTTCATTGAATCAATTTTTTTTGTTTCATCTATTCGATGTTTTCTCATTCTATTGCGTTTATTCATTAAGAGATAGAGAAATAAAAAAGGGGTCTTTTGATGTGTATTTAGCTACAATAGTCTATGAAACGTAGTTTGCCTATCTATATTACACATAGAATTTAATGATGTAGTCAATTTAGCCATTTGTCACATGAGCTCGACGACGATGTTCGGTGACTTTGTGCGCACCGTGTAAATTTACTGTGTATTTTTCGCTCGTTCGCTCTTTCTAGCTAGCGGTCACATATTCAACCGCACTATAGGTAATCTATTGAGCCACATATTGAATTCAGCCTCTCTCTCTATCTTTCTCTTGATATGAGTCTGTGTATGTATATGTGAGTGTGCATATATAATTGATATGTAGGTGCGTGGGCAAAATTAGCGTATTGCATTCAAATTGGCTGCGGTTTGTTAGCATTATGACGAAGTTTAATGAATTCCAGTGATTTGACCTCTTATTTTGATGAATACAGTAAATAGTGTGCATAATACATATTGATAGAGACTATTTGAAAAGAATCGAATGGTTTTTATTTCATTCATTTAAATACAATTTACATGATGCTGTGAATTTGTGTGAATGATTTCATATTTGAGTAGAAAGAAAAAAGATCGGCTGATGGAATATGGTTTTTTTTTCTTTCAGTAAAATTCCTGATTTGCTTGGCAAAAATTGTGTACAGTTCCGTTCCATCGTTTATATTTAAATGTATTTTTAAAATGATCATTTGCATTCAAAGCCATATCGAAGACAAGAACATAAAGCGAAATTAATTCAGATCTTTTTCAAAAGCCACAAGTCTAATCAACTTTTCCAGCAGAATATACACATAAATTAGCAGAATTTGTTGCGGTTTATGTTGTTGTTGGTGTTTTTTAATATATTTTTTTCTCTCTGTTGTGTGTGATTCTTTTTTCGGTTTGTTTGTCCATTTGATTCTCACATTTTTTTGAACCCGGGTGTAAAGCGATAAAATGACAAACACACTGTGAGAGACAAACACGAGCCGAGAAGCAAAACTGGTGAGATCTTTGGAGAGATAGTGCATAAGCAACGTTTCGAGCATCATTTGAAATGACTATAGCACCAGCACCAGCACTACCACCATCAACAACAACAACGATTGAAAAATCTGACGTAATGCTATTTATTTATTCAAATATGATGCAATGTAATCTGCACATGGACAGAGCACAAGCCTTTCGCGCTATCTCAATTCTGTTCTCGCCCAGTATCAGTCGATTGGATTAACGAATCGTTTTCTTTACATACACAAAAAAAATAGCGCTTAATTACAAATTTGTGTCTAAGCGAAATGAGAAGAGAAAAAGAACAAAAAAACATAAAAAATGTTTTTATTTAATTGTTTTGCATATTGCATGACATTTCAATTAAGAGCCGCGATTCAAATGTGTAGAAAGTTGAATACAAAGTGGACGAATCCATTGATATATTTTTTATTTGTTTTTGTGCGATTCAAACTTACTTGACTGATGTTCACTCAGTAAATTCTTTTTGTTTTTTGTCTTCAGCATTTTTTTTGTGTCATTTCTTTTTTTTAAATTCGTTTTGTGTGCGCTTATTCAATGTCTTGCATATTTTCCTGTTGCCGTTTTATTTATTCTTCTGGAGTGTGTGTGTGTGTGTATGTGTCTGTTTTGTGCGTTGTTAAATGTTTTTTCCACCATCAATGTTGAAGAATTTGTTTTGCATTGTACAGTGCTTATGCGAATTTGAAACCAGTTTATCGCTTATATATTGTATGACACACACTGTGTGCGCATAACAATAAAACATATTATGCGAGTATCAATATTATAAAGCCGACAAGAAGCCCAATTGTCAGACGATAAAATTGAAAGAGTGCTTGAAGAAAAAAAGAAACAACAACAACCAGCGAACAAAGAACGAAAGAAGTGCAAACAAAAAATTAAACTCCCTCGAAAAAACGAAGGAGAAAAACGGTTGACAAAAGCAAGTTTAGCTGTAATTACTCGTATAAAGAACTTTTTTTTTCTCTCCTGAAAATCGCCAATAAATCGGACAAACGTACAAGTATAATGCCTCTTTTCATATATATATGTATGTGTTTTATGGCAGTGTGCAGAGTGTGTAAGCACGCTGTGCATGCGATTTTGTTATATGGATGTGAAATATATACAGTTTTTTTTCTTCACAAAAATGCCCATGTAGTGTATCCATAAATACTTGTTGCGCGCATTCAGAACTTGACTTATGGCTTTTTGATTGACAAAATCGCAACACGAAGCAAAATCTGCGTAATTATTGATATTTAATTGCATTTATTCGATCGCAAAATATGTTCCCACAAATCGGCGCGATAAATTCGCAAAATTGCAATCGAGTGAGAGAAAAATCAAGAAAAAAAATACTTGATAATCGTGGTGATTGAAACTTCAACAGCCAGAAAAGAGTGTGTATGAACGAACGAAAAACAAAAAGTTGTCACATTATTCCGCGAACTTCTCCATTCGAATGTTCGCGAGAACAGGCCTATAAATATCGTCTTCAAGCATTTTAACTGGGAGAAAATTATTATTATATCGTCATTAAAGCACAGAAAGAATGCACAAGCCACTTAAGTGTCCACACACGAAATATTTCGATTAACTTAATTACCATTGAGAAAGATTAAAGCCAATGTGAATCATTCCTAACATTGTCGACGGTACATTTTATGTAATATGTATATAGCTATGCCAGTAGGTTGTTCTTTTTTTTTCATTTGGGAATATTAAAAAAACCACACGCCTTCAAAAACGACTGAATGGTTTTCGCTTCTGATGGAAAACCAAATATAAACAAACTAATAAATGAGCATAACTTATCGATTTTTTTTTTCGTTCCCTCTCTCTCTTGATGTCGTTTTCTTTTTTGCCACATTCAATGAATGGGTTATACTTTTCCCTGACTTTGGCATACCAATATTTATCACGCACCGACTGTGCTAGACCGTTTATTTTAAAAGTTATAAATTTCCATCGTTTTGCGATATTCTTTTAAGAAGAATTAGAACATTATTTCATGTAGTCAAATTTAATGTTTGAAACAAAAGCAAAAGAAACGCGATGCAAAAGGAATAGGCAAAAGAAAAACAATAAAAATTTGCGGCATGTAAGCAATTTTCTTGTAAAAATGAAAGGCAAAAAGAACGAGTAATCTACTCTCAATAAATAAGCCAACGGTTTTGCTGTGCGCTGCGAAAATGAATTGTTTAGCACATATGCGATGCACATGAATCATTTCATGTTTACATTAAACGAGGATAAAAATCAAATTTGAATTTACGCGCATGCGATGTACATGGCATTTTCTTTTCTTTGTTTTTTTTATGTGTGCATACATTTTGGTCGGTCGGTGTAGATAGACATGTGTGAGTGTAGATGAATAGAAGCGTCGTCGTCATCATTACCATTGAAGAAGAAGTGCTATTACGCTTCATGCAGCTAGTTACATTCATTGCAAGAGGAAATGTACGCATATTTGCACGGTACATAATAAAATTTTGGAATTTGCCGTTGAAATGCATGCATGCATTCTGTAGGACTAAAAATAGGACCAAATTTTTTTTGTGTATGCACTCATTCACTTCGATTTCGGAATAACCGAAACGAAATGATTTTGTGTTGAATGCGCGCGCGATTGAATAGTTGTAAAATGTAATAAATAACTTACCAGTGATTGGTTGCGTTGGTATATCGGCGCCATTGATTCCCTGCGATTCAAATAAATTCCTCACATTCGAGCAATTGCTCAGTGGGTTTGTAGCAGCAGCTGCAAGTGCACCGCCGTGTACGAGTTTTGGCGTTGTCGATGATAGAGCCTGATTTTGTGCGGTTGCCATTGTTATTGCTTGTATTGCAAATAATAAAATGACTGCTGCCAAATGAGTATATTGTCGCGCAGTGAATAGCATTTTCGATCGATTTTTACTGGACCACATTGTTGCCGGCTGCTGCATCATTTTATTGTTTCGTTCACACTACGATTTAATTTACTTCGCTTATTAATACTCTTTTTCTTTATAATAGACGTATTGTTTTACTATTTTTTTTATTAGTTGTTGATTTTGCTAATTTTTTCTCTTTTATCGCTAAATTTGCATCAATGTTGTTTATTGAAACCGATGATTAAAGCCGTTCAATAAGCGCTCGATCGATTTTTATCGTCAATAAAATATATGTGTATATAAACTGTTTTGTTTTTTAGAATTGCAAGTGATTTGACGACATATTTTTTTCTTCACTTGATGTCCGATCGCACAACTCATTCACTCAAAGGCACTTTTTTTATTAATCATTGAACATTGAGAACATTTATTCTCTTTTTGCGTATGGCAAACCAAATGAGCAATTACAAAAAAAAAACCAAACTGCATAACCGCTTTAGACGCGTAACATGCACCGGGATGACTTTCAAATAGAGTACAAAAAATGAATGACAAAAATATACGGCACCACAGCAACGACCACAAAAATACCGAATGCCCCGAATGAATATTGTATATGTGTGTATATAATTTTTTTATAGGCTCGATACGATGGAATATATTATTATTTTATTGCAACCGCAATTAAGTGAATTCAGACTATGGTCGATTGATATTGGTAAAGCGTACGCGATACGATGTGAACAACAAAAAAACGAAAAAAAGAGAACTCAAGCACCAACCAAAAATCATTAACCGAAATGAACTGACAGAAAATAGCAAAACTGCCGATTTGTATAAATGCGTTTAAAATGCACACTCCTAGAGCACAAAGAAATGCGAAAACATTTACGTTGCGTTGGAAGAAAATAAGTGTATGTGTGAAAAAAAAAACAAGCTATAAAGTTTTCTGCTTCTTAAAATTGTACTTGAAAAACACTTGAAGTCGTTGATTCGCACTGTACATCTTTCAACACCCGGCGCAAATAATATTTTGTTTCCTTTTCTTCTATATTGTGTATAGATTCTTCGTTCACATAAAACTCTTTTCTATTCAATCGGGTCGTTTGTTGATAGTTTTCTTCCGACGATTTGATGGTTTTGTATGTTTGTATGGCTCGTGGATAATTCAACAACTTCTTGTTGCTATTTTTTGTGCGTGTACAGCTTCAACTAGTTTTGCTCTCTTATCCCCAATAGAATTCGAAAAACGTATGGAAAATCGATTTAACACTGATGATTTTGTACGTGCTGCTTTCACAGTAATACTTCACAGACTAAAGTCGTTGTGTGATCCATTCAGAGTACTACTGAAACGATACTCGTAGCCGGTTCGACGTAGTGATTTCTTCAATGCGACTTCACTTACATTCATGTAGCGTTCATATGGTTATGGTGCGCCGCGGCGTTACCACGATGCGCTTCACTATCATGCGTCCGCATTCACTTGATGCGATATACAATATAGCAAATGCGTATATGTTCTTGCCCATGCAGGTAAATGAGTTAGCCGTTTTTTTAGTTCTCTTCTGTTTGCTTTGGGTGACGATTATTACGACGACCGAACACCACCATCGATCGGCGGCACGTTTGTACACGAACGATAGATATGTTTGGCATGCGTACGGTTGTTTCTTTGTTTGTATGCAATGAATCACGCATACATACATACACACATCAGTTGATTGCCACTAATTTATTTAAGAAAATTGTTCTGAATGAAGTTAAATGGATGCGTTTAAAGCATAATATGAACTTGAAATTCAATTGAAAAATTTGCTGCAGTTTTATTCATTTGACTTTATTTCAATCTTTTTTCTTCGTTTTTTTGTTGTTGCCAAAGAACATCTTTGTTTAAAATATACACTGCGATTAAATGCAATAAGCATTCATCATATACAATTATGATATTTCATCGCTGAAACTCCTCTGTAACAATATATTTTCTTTTTCTTTGTTAATACTACTCCGTTTTAGCTACAAATAAAATAGAAATAATTTTTTATTTTGTGTTTGTTGTTGATATGATTTAAATCGCACCAATTGCATTACTATTTGTGTTCGCATTCACCACATTTCCTGAGCTGATCACAGCCGGACGCTCATTTAAATTTGTACGCCATGAGAAATAAATATTCCAGAATACAGCAACGGTTTGCGTCAATAACACCTGATAGTTCAATGGTATAATGCTGAAATTGAGAATCTGCACCCATGGCCATACACTGTAGTTCGCCAGTAAAATATCGGGATAGTCCTGCTGTAATTTTTCTTTGACTTTTCCAAGATCTTGATGTTGCGAATATCCAATCACAGACAATAAAAAGGCCAAGAAAATCGGTGCAAATACAGCTTGATCGATGAACACTTTCTGTGCTGTACGACCCAATCGACTCTTTGCAGTAACATATGAATCTAGTGCTCCATACCATTTTCGTAGGCCAGGGCCCTTTCAGAGAGAAGAAACATGTTTTTTTTTTTAATTAAAAAAGTATTCAAACATATTAACTTACAGCCACACAGAATCCAATTGAAAAGAATTTCAACGTCCGAATGTAGTCACATTGAGAGATTTTTTGCTTTTCAATTATTGTCTGAGCCAAAAAATCCCCGGCTCCCATCAAGAATCCAGCCTGTATTATTCAAATGAAATAATCACATTTATTATTTATCTTGTGTCAAACCATTTACAAATAAAAATCCAAATCTCACCTGAACGGCTTGTGTCAATATAGGATATTTTTTCAAAGCTTTTTGATATTTGCCAGAAAATTGGCGAATACTTGGATTATAACGCCATGCAAATCGGGTCAATTTTGAAAATATCATTGTATATTCTTTAATTCCACGGAAAATTCCAAACAAATGTCGCCTATTTTTATCCAGTAAATTTTTTCTTTCACTTGATTTCCATTAAGAATTTTATGTTGGAAATCAAACACCACTTTTCGATGATGATTCACTCAAATCAATGTGATTTTCTTTTTTTTCCTTTTCTTTCAATATTTTCCGTTTATCTCAATGGCTCAATGTGAATCACGCTTTTAAGGAATTTTTCTCTGGGTTTGACAGCCGCGTGTTTTCATTTTAACTGTCAATGTGGTTGTGTGTCCAACAATAGAACTTATCTGTCAAAATGGATTGAGTCTTGGTAATCACTACAACCGTTTTATTATTTATTAAGCGATTGTTATCTTCATTTTGTAATATTTAATTTATTTTTTTGCTTCTAAAATACATTAAGTTCGTATGAATATGAATAAAAAGTAAAACTACACACAAAAAAATTTGCGGTAAAATTTTATGCAAATGCGGTTAATGAGTAGTGTGTGGTTAAATTTAAAGGTAATGCGGTAAAATTTCATCATTTGTCTGTATTAGAATTCACCGCAATTTACCGCATTCATACAAAAATGACCGCACACGCATAAGACTGAGTGTTTGATTTTGAGTCTTATACGTGTGCGGTCATTTTCGTATGAATGCGGTAAATTGCAGTAAATTCTAATACAGAAGTATCCAAATGTCTAAATTTTAACCGCATTTGCATTAAATTTTACCGCAAATTTTTTTGTGTGTAATGTTGCAAATATAAGCTAAACTTAATCATCTTTTTCTATTTGCGATACGTCTACATCATCCACCTCATTTTGAATTTCGGTTTTAACAAATGTCTCCGTTTCCATAGGTTCAGTTTCGGTTCCATTGTTGTCATCGGCCTTTTTATCTTCATTGGCATCATCTTCTGTGGGTAGTTTTTCATACAGTTTCTGAATTGATTCCATATTTTCTTTCATATCGTTGATGCGTTTCAAGTATAATTTGTATACAAAATCAGCCATTTCGCTCATATTTTCAATGGTTCGGTTATTTCGGTTCGGCATCAATTTTGATGAAACAATGAATAAAGTCATAATCGAAAGAAAAATTAAATAGTTTTAAAAAAGAGTTGTTTTAGTTGGTTTATTGTCTTCCAGATGTCGCAATAAGACAGATCATTCCTGACATTTATCAAGTGTAATCACATTTTTGACAGCAAATAAGTTAAAAAAATAAGGCTTCTCAATATCAAAAAAGTGGTGTTTGACCTATAAATCAACAATTTTCATTGTATTTTGATTTTCTACCTCTCGAAATATTCTCAAAATGATTGTATTTTCCTTTTACTTTTCATTTTCATTTGTTTGTGGCAAAAGTATTGAAAAGGTTCTGAGCTATACAGGAAAAAAATCTTCATACGAAATTCAGTAACTGTGTCTGCAGACAAACAACAATTGTGCGAAGAAAAAGAGTTGGACGCGAGCTGGGTCATTGTCGCTTTAGGTTTTTTACACAAATACACAGAAAGATGGAGAAAACATCTTCCAAACTGATAACTAATAAGGAATCAGCCCAATGTCAACACGATGAACTGGTAGGTCTATCAACAATTTGCATGGTGTCATTCGAAGAGTTTTGCATTTGAAAATAATTCACTTTGAAAACATTTTATTTATTTTTCATTGTTTATAGGCCACCAGCTCAAGTGGAATACTAAGCCAAAGCTCAATAGCCGGGTCAAAATTGAAACGAAAATGCCAACATGAAATTTCTCATTTGTGTTCAAAG